GTCAGACGTTTTGTTCAAGTCAAGTCATCAACGTGATAATTTTTATCACCTTATTTCGATATTGTCTCACCAATGTCGAGTAAATATCGTCTGTGTGTTTTTTCTATTTGGATTTAGCTGTTCAAGTTTTTTCTATATGGATTAGCTGTTCAAGTTTTTCTACTGTTTGGATTTAGCAGATCAAGTTTATTTTTGTAACTGTTCCTAAACTGTTCCTAAAGATGTCTTATCTAAAACTGGACAAATTTCTACTCTGTAACAGGCTACTAGAACTATTTTGAATTTTTTTCAACTTTTTGGAATCAACAAAGTGAACTATTTTTGGACGTATATATGTACTATGAACTTTTCTTGGATTACCAGATGTCTGTAATCAACTAAAACAAGCGAGAAACCAAGAAAGGGTATTGTAAATTAATTAACATTTATCTATTGTCAACTAATGAATTTATATTTTATGTCATAGAAAATATATCAAAATGTTATGTTTTGAAGAATATCTAGCACTAGCGAGGGCGCAAGGCATTAAGAAGATGAAGAAGCAGATAGCCTGGGCAAACACTCGATTTGACAGAGACATAGAAAAAGCATTAGAAGCATGGGACGAAGAAACAGGACGACCCCGAGTAGCTCATGGAAAAGTAATAAGTGAATTAGATGATGAGATAGAAATAGAGTGTAATAGATCAAGAGCTATTACAGACATGCAAAAAGAAGAAGAAATGTCAGATGGAGATAAAGTAGAAGAGACTGTACAACTAAAAGGAAAGCGAAAAAAAAGAAACAGAAAACAAAGAGCAGATAAAAGGGCTGAAACTTTGGAAAAACAAGTTGGCCTACATGAACTAGTATATAAACAAGAACTATTAGAAATGAAAGCTATAACAGACACAAATGAAACAAAATTAGAAAGTGAACAGACAGAATTTAAAGCAGAACTTGAAGAAGTAAATATTGGCAACCTTTGGAATGAAGAACAGAGTAACATAGTCCAGGAAGAATTGAAACCCAAGGAAAAAACAGAGGTTGAACTTAATAATGATTTAAAGGTGACAGATACATTAGAATGTCTTAAGATTGACTCTTTATTGACTCAAACGCAGGTACACGAGAATATTATTGAAAGTTGTATCGTAAGTCCATCAGAGAATGGCAGTCAACAAGAAATAAGTCCATCAGATAATGGTAGTAAACAAGAAATAAGTCCATCAGTGAATGGCAGTCAAAATGATTTAATAAGCCCATCAGTCAATGGCAGTGATGATTTAATAAGTCCATCGGAGAATGGCAGGAATTATGATAAACTAATGATGATTAATGAATCAGTGAACTTAATAAGCCACAATGAAGAGAACGTACCTATTGAAGATTTACTTCGAAAATTGGAGTCAAACTATAAAGAAGATATACTAGAACTCAAGAATAAATTTAACAAAGAAATGGAGAAATTAACACAGAAATTTATGTGTGAATTAGAATCAATAAAGAAGCACAAGGAAGTTAAGAAAGATGAAGCAGTAACTAGAAACTACAATGTCATTGATGCACAGAATGAAAGTAAAAGAAATTTAGCAAACTATGAATACAGTCAACATGTTAATAAGAATGTCATTAATGTCATTAATGCACAGAATGAAAGAAAAAGAAATTTAGCAAACTATGAATACAGTCACCATGTTTATAAGAAGCCAAAATCTAGATGTTTTTACTGCGGAAAAACAGGTCATTATCAAAATCAATGTTGGCATAGGTTGGCAAATCAGAGAAGAAACAATTATGTACACAGAAAGTCATGTGAGAAATACAGTAATTTAAGAAATAATGTATCAAGTTCAAATCAGAATAACAAAAGTGTGAATAGGTATACTAATGGAAGTTACCGACGCAACACATATTATGAGAGGCCAAAGCAATGCCATAATATTTATATTAAGTTGGTTGATGAACCAAACGAACGTACACAAAGCAAGATAACTACTGACGTTGTTCAGAAACCAGAGGAGAATATTAAAACAAATGAAGTAACGCAAGTTACACGAAATCTAGGAAATGATTATGGTAGCACAGCTAAAAGCTACAATTTGAGGGAGAGATGGCATACAGGTCATCGTCAACTGCACGAGAACGATTACTCATGCTATAGAGGATGCTAGGATAAATTATCAATTGACAGTTTATTAATATTATACAGTCTGTAACTGTAATATATAAATATCAAATAATGTGTTTGAGTAAACATAAATTGTGTACTATATCTAAAGAATGTAAACTGTATTATGTTAAACCTATTCTATACTATTAATTAACAGGGAATAATGTATAAAGTAAAAGTTAGAGACTATTTATTCCGCATAACAATAAGACGGAAGTCTCAATGATGAATTGTGTATTAATCATTACCTGTGGAAGGCAAGAATGTTGTTGTGTTGTGACCTAGATATGACTGAAATGGGTCGACTAGGGGAGACAACAAAGTATATTACTCATGCGTGGTAATAACATGCCTTGATGATAAGGTTGTTTTTTCTTTACATAGGATATCATTATTTAATTCATGAGTTGAATTAAGTCTTTAAGAATTTTAACTATGTGTTATGTTTTGAAATTAAGTCCTGTACCAAATTAGTTTGGTATATTATTTATCCCAACTGATGTAGTTTTTTTTTATACTACAGTTACTGGGTAATTGAAATGTTTTGTTCTCCTATGTGAATGTATATTGATGCATTAAATATTACATATAATGCTTGTACATTTAAAGTTTTTGTTCAAAACACTGACATATTTTAATTATCACTGATATAGTCACTACATACTGTTGTATTTGTATGCACTATAAATTTATGACTACAAGTGCTTAGTCTAAAATGAATATATTTTACTCTACTTTGAGTTGTACACAATTTTTTGTTGTCTGGCACATGATCCTGCCCTACCAATACTGTATTTATAAATTTTGTTGTCTGGCACATGATCCTGCCCTACTAATATTGTATTTATAAATTTTGTTACACAAAATTTTATTCGAAGGGGGGACGTGTCACAGACTGTATTATTATGTATCTTTATTATATTGTGTTTTGCATGAATGAAGAGTACCTGGCTAGCGGAAGGACTGTCTGAGCGATCGTCATGTGTTTTTCCGTGTTTTGGGTGAGATCGCTCATTGACGTAAAGGGAGAGAAAGTTGTGAATAAAAGAGAGAGCAAAAGGTGAACGGGTGTTGTGTGCTAGGACTTGGGACTGGAACGATGGCAGTGAATGTAAGATGTCTCCATGACTTGGAGTCGTGATTATTATTTGTACCTATATCAGTTGATCTTCAAATATGGATGTACCACGGATTTATCTGTACATAGTGTAAATAAAGTTGTCATTTGAAGTTGCCACTGTTGCTCGTGTTCCTGTATGAAAGCTAACCCACAACAACAGAGAATTCATGTTGTTACAGGATCCAAAACTTATTTTTCAATTTATTGCTAAGTTTAAGCAGTGCGAGCTGTAACAAGAGGACTTCAAACTAATATTAAAATAAAGTTAAAGCGTTTATTTTTATTTATTTAATCCGTTCTTTTAATTTTTAGACATACAAAACTTAAGTACGAACAGAAATTATAAGCAATATTTAAATCTGTTGTTATCAACATATCAAGGTAATATTATTTGTTGTAATAACTTACTTTGTCATTTCTTCATTACTTTTTTTTCTTTTAATTGAATCATTTAAGAAATTTTGTCCCTTGGATCAAATGTTATTTTTATTTTTCAACATGGGAGATAATTCATTGTCAATACCCCCAAGCGAAAATCAACTACCCGCGGTGGTGTAGGCATCCACTTATCTAAATACTTTACTTATGTTGAAATCCAAACAATAATTAGGTGGTAATGAAGTAATGCGAGGGATAATATAGTGACAAAACATAAATTGGCTTGATCACATGATATATTTTGTGACGTTTAAACGCAATTAGTACTTAGTCTTTATGTCAGCCATATGTTGTCAGTTTAAATTAAATACAGGGCTGGGGTGAAATTTTGTGCGAGATACTTAGTTTAAAAAGTTACAAGTAGCCTTTGGAATGGTGTATATCTTAGATCAGGGTTTCTTTACGACATTTCTCTCCGGGGCTACTTGCAACTTCTGGGAAGGGAAGTGAGGAGGCAGGCACGGGTAAGCTATTTTTTATTTAAATTAGTTTTTCTACATCATCCTATGGGATACCGAATGTATCACCATATCCTTACTAACAGGATCACCATTACCCTACTTCCTGTACCACCATAGTTCCCTACTACCTGAATCACCATAGTTCCCTACTACCTGAATCACCATAGTTCACTACTACCTGAATCATCATAGTTCCCTACTACATGTAACACCATAGTTCTCTACCAATCACCGTAGGTCCCTACTATCTGTATCACGTAGTTCCCTACAACCTAACTCACCATAGTTCCCTACTACCTGTAACACCATAGTTCCCCTGTCATCTATCACCATAGTTCCCTACCAATCACCTTAGTTCCCTACCAATCAGTTCCCCTGTCATCTATCACCATAGTTCCCTACCAATCACCTTAGTTCCCTACCAATCAGTTCCCCTGTCATCTATCACCATAGTTCCCTACCAATCACCTTAGTTCCCTACCAATCAGTTCCCCTGTCATCTATCACCATAGTTCTCTTGTCATCTATCACCATAGTTCCCTACCAATCGTCATAGTTCCCTACCAATCACCATAGTTCCCCTGTCATCTATCTTCATAGTTCCCTACCAATCACCTTAGTTCCCTACCAATCAGTTCCCCTGTCAACTATCACCATAGTTCTCTTGTCATCTATCACCATAGTTCCCTACCAATCACCATAGTTCCCCTGTCATCTATCACCAAACTTCCCCTGTCATCTATCAACAAAGTTCCCCTATCACCAAAGTTCCCCTGTCATCTATCACCATAGTTCCCCTGTCATATATCACCGCAGTGTTTGCAACTACCTTTTTGACAAGCAGCCTCGTCCTCACCAGCGTAGCAGTCCGCAACACCGTTGCACGCGACGTCTGCCCACATGACCACACTTCCGTTGTACCCGAACTGGAGGTCAGAGGGCACGCAGGTCACCGTGACATCGTTCAAATTCTGGACCGGCATGCAGCTCTCTGGTTGAGCAAGATTGGGGGAGGGGGGGGGTGGTATGTTGCAGTTTTAGTAACACAACAATCTATGGTTCTATTTCAGGACATAACAACCTCATATAAAAATAGACGTTAAAAGTTCATTTTAATAGATCGTTGTAATGGACAAGCTAGTACTATATCCCTGTATATATATATATATATATATATATATATATATATATATATATATATATATATATATATATATATATATATATATATATATATATATATATATATGTCTGCCCATTGGTAAAGGTATGTGTAGGTACACATATACACCTACATAGGTTCTCAACTTATGTATATGTTTATGTAGGTAGAGGTGGATACACTCCTTTACTGTCTGTCCCCTCCCACCCTTACCCACTGCCCGAACCCTTCCCGCCTCCCCACCCCCCTCCCCTACCTATAAGGACGGCAGCGTATCCCATAAGCTAACCGATAATCCCGTTAATCCTCTTAAAACAAATCCGCCCTGACTGACCCTGTTTCTCGTCCCAGCCGTCGGGACAGTGGGGGTACCCGTCACACAGGAACCACAGGTGGCTCGTGACGTCATGACGGGGTGGGGCAGGTAGAACACAGGTGCTGTCCCCACAGCGAAAACACGGCGGCTGGTCGGGTCGGGGGATTTGACCTGAGGGGAAGAAACTGGTTACTTCAATGATGGACGACAGGACCATGTAATTATAGTCAGTGATGGACCATGTAATTAGGATAATTATAGATTGTTTAATGTACGGCTTCATGCTGTTTTTACCCTGGCGAATCAGTATCAATAATGGGAGACGCGGTCGGCCTTGGTTGTGATTGGTGTGTGTGTGTGAGTGTGTGTGTGTGTGTGCAGTGGCGTAGCAAGGATCGTCTCAAGGGGGGGGGGGGGGGGGTTCCAATTTTTACCCTGGGACAAACTTTTGATTTGCACCCCCCCCCCCCTCTCAAACTTTCGATTTGCACCCCCCCTCAAACTTTCGATTTGCACCCCCCCCCTTATACTTTTTATATACACCGAGGAGTCTATGGGGGGGGGGGGGTTATGACCCCCCTAACCCCCCCCCCTGCCTACGCCAGTGTGTGTGTGTTTTGTTTGTGTGTTTTGTGTTTGTGTGTGAGAGAGAGTGAGGGGGATACTTATGCACTAGAAGTTATGGGTGTGTAATATAGTAGGAAGTGGCTTTTTCTCTGCCTTAGTGGTACTAGGAATTGGATGGACGTTAAGGCTAAATGGGAGAGTGGTGTATTTTAGTGTCAAGTTTATACCAGTTTGGGTATATTCGAATGTCAAGTTTATAAGAGCAGTAGTATGTAGCAATCAGCAAAAATTAACTAACACAACCTAACTGAAATCAAAACACTTCTTTCACTAGATAAATGGCCCGTTGTTGGAGAAATACAACGGGCGCTAGGTTGATAGTGTTGTCTTTTTCTTTAAAACGAAACCTAAACCAAAATCGCCACTTCAACTTCTAATTTAAATGGAAACGAAAAATGTATTTGAAAACGGATTTTTATCCAGAATCGGCATTTTAACCGGATTTAACCTTGATCTAGTTACTGCACATTCATACTAAATATAGTCGTTGTTGTACCCCTAAACCTTGCACCTAAGCTCAAAGTTGACAAAGTAAAAAAGTAGTTTCCCTTTCAAACCTGACGGTCTAAGGGGTAAGTGAAGTAGAGTTCTCTTGTTTCTGTGATCTCGGCATATGGTCAGCACTATGCCCAGCCGCCTTTACTTTCCCTAACGTGGGTTAGGTACCCATCAGAGTTGGGTGGACTCAGGGACGGTCTACTGACTTGAACCCGAACTCGAGACTTACGGGTTAGCAGTCCAGCTTTCTGCCGATAATCCCATTGACAAAAGTCGCGTTTAAAGTTTCTTTCAGGCAACTCTTTATTAACAATAATAAATTAAAAATCATCTATGTTACTTTAACTGTCCTATTAAAAAACTCAAAAAAAATAATTAAAAACAATATCTGTATTTGTGTAACCTAGCCTGTTTTATAGGGAAAAAAAAACGTATTAAAACTAATAAAACTAATGCCTGTGTAACCTTACCTGTTTTATATGGGGGGGGACGTATTAAAATAATAAAACATACCTGTGTAACCTTACCTGTTTTATATGGGGGGGGAACGTATTAAAATAATAAAACTAGTACCTGTATAACCTTACCTGTTTTATATGGAGGGGGGGGGGGGGACGTATTAAAATAATAAAACATACCTGTGTAACCTTACCTGTTTTATATGGGGGGGGGGGGAACGTATTAAAATAATAAAACTAGTACCTGTATAACCTTACCTGTTTTATATGGAGGGGGGGGGACGTATTAAAATAATAAAACATACCTGTGTAACCTTACCTGTTTTATATGGGGGGGACGTATTAAAATAATAAAACATACCTGTGTAACCTTACCTGTTTTATATGGGGGGGGGGGAACGTATTAAAATAATAAAACTAGTACCTGTATAACCTTACCTGTTTAATATGGAGGGGGGGGGACGTATTAAAATAATAAAACATACCTGTGTAACCTTACCTGTTTTATATGGGGGGGGGGGACGTATTAAAATAATAAAACATACCTGTGTAACCTTACCTGTTTTATATGGGGGGGGGGGGGAACGTATTAAAATAATAAAACATACCTGTGTAACCTTACCTGTTTTATATGGGGGGGACTTATTAAAATAATACAACTAATGCCTGTGTAACCTTACCTGTTTTATATGGGGGGGGGGACGTATTAAAATAATAAAACTAGTACCTGTGTAACCTTACCTGTTCTATAACAAAACTCATCGTTGCCATTCCTGCAGTGTTTGACAGAATCACAAACACGAGTTCTGTTCACACACTGGACGGGGGAACATTGGAATTGTGTCCTTTTACATGAGACTGGAGATGTAAAATTAAAAGAGGGACATTGGAACTTTCATATCATAGGGGGGGGGGGGCATTGTCTGAAAGAAACCCTGATCACGATAAAAGAAAGCCATGTATAAATCTTTTTATTACAAAATAAATAAAAAAACCCAGTAAAGTTCAATTTTGGGAACTAATTATCAACAAAGCAGGTGAAGTAGATTGTTTCATCACGATTGCGTCCCTACCTTGGCGCCTTGCCTGAATTTCAATGTGCAGATCTTTGGGCTCGCTGGACGTCCTGAAGACAATCCACAGGTAGTTCCTAAGGGAGAAGATCTCCTGCCTGACCTCCAGCCCACGGCAGAACTTTTGTGACGTCATCGACTCTACATCGATCAGGTTGACGTCATTGCCCACGTGCAGGTAATCCCCTTCGCACGAGCTGTTGCCGTGTGGCCAATTCAAGATGGCGAGAGCGAGAATCGTGCGCGCGGCGGAAGTGACGTGGAGGGTGCAGGCGCGCGCGCCGAGGTGTGTCGCCGTCCAGTTTTCTGTGTTCAACAGCAGCATCTCGCCTTCCTGTAGGCTGTACTCGTGCTGTTTGACAGCATGGCAGTTGGTCAGGGACTCTGTGGGGTGGATGAGACAGTTAGTCAAGGTCTGTGTGGGGTGTATGAGACAGTCAAGGTCTGTGTGGGGTGTATGAGACAGTCAAGGTCTGTGTGGGTGTATGAGACAGTCAAGGTCTGTGTGGGGTGTATGAGACAGTCAAGGTCTGTGTGGGGTGTATGAGACAGTCAAGGTCTGTGTGGGGTGTATGAGACAGTCAAGGTCTGTGTGGGTGTATGAGACAGTCAAGGTCTGTGTGGGGTGTATGAGACAGTCAAGGACTGTGTGGGGTGTATGAGACAGTCAAGGACTGTGTGGGGTGTATGAGACAGTCAAGGACTGTGTGGGGTGTATGAGACAGTCAAGGTCTCTGTGGGGTGTATGAGACAGTAAAGGTCTCTGTGGGGTGTTTGAGACAGTCAAGGACTGTGTGGGGTGTATGAGACAGTGAGTCAAGGTCTGTGTGGGTGTATGAGACAGTTAGTCAAGGTCTGTGTGGGGTGTATGAGACAGTCAAGGTCTCTGTGGGGTGTATGAGACAGTCAAGGTCTCTGTGGGGTGTATGAGACAGTCAAGGTCTCTGTGGGGTGTATGAGACAGTAAAGGTCTGTGTGGGGTGTATGAGACAGTCAAGGTCTCTGTGGGGTGTATGAGACAGTCAAGGTCTCTGTGGGGTGTATGAGACAGTAAAGGTCTCTGTGGGGTGTATGAGACAGTCAAGGTCTCTGTGGGGTGTATGAGACAGTCAAGGTCTCTGTGGGGTGTATGAGACAGTAAAGGTCTGTGTGGGGTGTATGAGACAGTCAAGGTCTCTGTGGGGTGTATGAGACAGTAAAGGTCTCTGTGGGGTGTATGAGACAGTCAAGGTCTCTGTGGGGTGTATGAGACAGTCAAGGACCTTATCTAACTAAAGACACTATATTATACCGTATCGATCAAGCGTTTCTATTCTAGGTAGAAATATATCGTTAGCTGGTTATTAATTAAAACCTAATTTACCTGTTCGTCTGCTGTTACATAAAACAGTTGAAGACAAGCATGTCAACATCTGCAACCAAAGTGGACCTCTCATGTCTAGAATCCCAAAGAGTCTTCTAGGGGTTTTGGCAGATGTTGAAGACTAAATTTTTGCTGAGGATAAATCATACACGTCATTTAGAATAGAGGTATTTGTTGACTGAACTTCTTTTTAGACTCAAGCTACTAGTAGTTTATAAAGATTAATTGCGATGTAATACAATTAGAAAATATTTTTTTTAAACTACAAATTATATATCGTAACTTATCTATTATATATATATATATATATATATATATATATATATATATATATATATATATATATATATATGTGTGTGTGTGTGTGTGCATGTGTGTGTGTGTGTTTATGTGTGTTTATGTGTGTATCTATTTAGGCTCTATATATAGGCTCTATATAAATAAATAAATAAATAAATAAATATATATATATATATATATATATATATATATATATATATATATATATATATATATATATATATATATATATATATCTTTATATATATACTTACGTTAGTCTAATATATATGTAAACACATGTAAGCCAGTTATTCACGAAGGCCGCCACAACACTATTATTTTTTTAATGTCACATATCTCTGATAACTGCCTTGTGATGAAAGTTTGTTAACTGTTACACGCATACAAACACAGCGCAGACAGGTTTAGAAAGAACGAAGGGTAATTCAGATATTTCTTATCACAAATTGGGGCGCAGAGAACTTCAAGTGGTCACTCTGTCGCCGAGGTAGGAAGGTGAACAACTCTTACTGGCTGGAAGATTTGAAAATGGTCAAACAAACAAAGGGAAATAACTATCATATTGTTATCTTGGTCTCCAAACGAGAAGCTGTATAAGATATAATTACTTCAATATGGCTAATACGTAAAAACTCTACCACCGAATGACATCAGTGCCGGATATAACTATAAGCTAAACAAGCAATAGCTTAGCGCTCCCACTTTCTTGGGGCCACTCGAAAGTATTTTTGTCAACTTTGGGCATTTTGTCACCTATATTTTTTATTTTTTAACATTTAGGTCTATTTAACTGAACTAACATGGAGACTGCAAGATGTGTCAGAAAAACAACCTAGGTTAGCTGTGCAGGAAGAAACAGGTGTTACCCCATTTTTTGGTCAGCCACACACATGTGTATGTCAAACTGCTACAGCTTAATTAGGTAATCAATGATTGGCGTAGCCAGTATCGTCTCGATAACATACCAAACGCGTTAAAAGTACATTTAAAATTAATCTGGTACTAACGCAATTCAAGTCTTCCTTAAAGCTGGAATTGTAATTTCTCGGTGAATATTTTATAATACTAAACCATTTAATCCATCGCAAGTAGTATTTCGTAAATACGTGTTTAGCCTTTTCTGGTAAAGTAATTACCTGTGCCCCGCCCCTCAAGTGCAATACCTTGTCGGCCGCAAAAGAAAGTTTCGATTAGTGGCGCTAATCTTAAACGATTTTCTAGAATTTGTTTACTTAAGGATGAGTACAAGGCGATGTTAATATGTTCAGTTATTTTTCCTCCGTAACTGATTTACGAATTCGGGAAAGTAAAATTGCTCTTTTATGATATTACCATTGCTGGTGCTCATTAAATTTCTCTGTTGCCTTTTTTTCTAGTTAGAAAATGGCTTTTTTTTCGAAAGCTTACCTAAAGCTTACCTAAAGGCTGACTACCAACATCGCTATAATTTAAACGTGTATAGAGTTTTGTGCATCCCACTTTTATTGTGTTTGGACGCTGATTTTCTTCCTGATAATCCTACTGAGATCGTTTACTTTTACGTTTACGGCCCTTTTGAACGAAGGCATTGCTGATATACTGGTTATGTAAAACTTAGCCAAACACAAACAACCCCATACATTCTAAAACTCATTAATTAAGCTGACAAAGAAATCTATACCGACATGTTTAATTACCAGTGTTGCACAGTCAAAATGCTTGCACTGGACCTTGCTGAGCAAGCGGCCACTAAACCTTCAGACAATGCTGTTGTTATTCAGACTCTCGCTGTTATCTGCAGCATTGGCCACCGTGTGGACCAGTCCAGTCTTAATCGATTATAAAAGCCTAAGTTTTGGTATCTCCTGTCGTAATAGGGTCATCAACTATATCTACACTGAATACAGCAACCATTTTAAAGACAGGCGTTACGAAATTCGTTGCGGAAGCCCTAATGTGACAATGGAGTGTGAGAACAGCGGTAAGGAATTTACTTCATGTAGGCCTGTATAGTACGCCTTGATGTGAAAATTACTTTATTTATTCATCCATGGAGTTATAAATCCAAAACCATTATATTAAAATAAGCCTATGATTTACTTATATGCGTTTTAATACGTCTTACACAGACAGCTTAAAGACAGGCCAATTTTTAGACCGTAGACATGCAGAGGCGTAGCGACCCTTCCCGGCGCCCGGGGCGAACTTTCAATTTGGCGCCCCTCCCCCCCCGCTTATATATATATATATATATATATATATATATATATATATATATATATATATATATGTGTGTGTGTGTGTGTGTATATAATTATGTGTGTGTGATAGTGTGTTTATATATAAGCTTGTGTGTGGGTAAGAGTGTATTTGTGTGTGTAAGCGTGTGTGTAAGCGTGTATGCTACAGTCCGGACAAGGTTTAATAATTACATTGTATGATTTTCATTCCTTAAAACTTTACCACAATTTAATTCCCATTAAGATGCGTTTAACTTTTTTTGCGAAAGATTAGTAATGTCAGTAAAAAAAATTAAGCCTGATCTGTGTTAGAGGGTAGTTTGTAGCTAACGCTAATATGTTTAGACCAGCCTTTTATGTTCTAGTTTTGAACGATCTCTGTTGTGATATGGTACATAGTTGGATTCGAAGTTTGTTAGAGTAAGGACACACATGTGACATACAAGAAGAAGTTATCAGAAATATTTATTGTTCACATTGGAATACGACATGGGTATTTCGTTGATTGGTTGATGGTATGACAAAACAAGCTAGAGAAAACAAACTGGAATCCAACGGATGTTAACAGCTCGTAGTCTTGGATTTCGCAGATTTGCCCTGCCTTCTCGCACACAGTTTCTTCCAGGCATCTTTTCGGAAGGGGGGGGGGCGAAGCCCCCCGGAAAATTTTTTACGCCCCCCCCGAACGAAATGAAATTTATATAATTTATATATAGAAAATATATACTTCTAACAGTGTCTACCCCCCTCCCCCCGAAGAAAGTTTACCGCCTCCCCCGTCCCCCCGAAGATTTCAAGTGCCCCCCCGGAGAAAAAAGTCTGGAAGAAACACTGATCAAAAGTATCTGATCTCTCACGTTGAAGTTGAGAGAATCGTAAGAATCTTACAAAGAACTAGTCGCGTCTTTTTTTTTTAACAAAACTGGCTATTGAAATTGTACATTACGCGTTAATACACTTGGTTTCTTTACTAAGTGTTAAGAGAGTTATCTACTCACCAATCCAGTACAAATACTTGCGATTTTTGTTAGCGAAAAAAGCGCCCCCCCCCACCCCCACACACACTCATCACAACCATCTTGGACAAAGTTTGTAGAGCGGTTTTTAACGTAACTAACTTTTTTTTAAAAATGTTACACAATTATACAATGCACAGTACAATTCGTTTCTTTCTGAGAGCTAAAGGTTGTTTACTCAGAATCCTGTGTAATTTTGCTATTTTATTTAGCCTAAAAGCGCCCCCCTGCACCATCTTGATAAATGTCACTAACGTATTTTACAGTTCAACAATCGTACAATACGTTTTAATACAATTGGTTTCTTTTAATAGTGGTAACGTTTATCGACTCAACAATCTAGTGTAAATTCTTCCGTTTTAAGTCTCGAAAAAGCGCCCCCCCCCCCATCTAGGAAAAGCTTCAAAGCGGTTTTGCCGGTCACTGTTTCTTAAGAGTATATGTTTTACATTAAGAAATCAAGATAGAAAACAGTTAAATCAGTATGTAAATGCGTGTAGCCATTACATTTCTTAACTTAGACAGTTTATAAAAAAAAAATTTCCCACCCCTTTTGGCGCCCCCATAGGGTCGGCGCCCGGGGCGGCCGCCCCCCCCCCCCGCCCCCCCCTAGCTACGCCTCTGTAGACATGCCTGATTGTTGCTGGTTGAATCAATGACTTCAGCCTATACGAGGTTGAGAAACAAGCCAGGTACCAAACTTATTTGGTCAGCAAAAATACGCACTGCAGCAGGAGTAGACTGAACCGCCGGGACACCGGGAAAAAATTCGGTTGCCATTGTTTATGTCGCCATTACACGTGAAAACCAAATTGTTTTTGCTTTATTTTTATGTTTATTTAGTTACCGAAAATATCAAAAACATCAAATACATCCAATCTTTAGTAAAGTCCGAAAAAAAACCAGACAGAATTTTATAACCATATTAATTATAACTACGCTGTGCTTGATTTTTAAATTGGTAAAGTGCAATATGGTAGGTAAAACACGGATATTTTAAATACCGCCTTTTATTTATTTTATACACTGAACGTACTGTTTACTAATTATTATTCTATCTTTCCGTTTGCGGTCAAGCTGGGTTTTTATAGTCATTCACTGAATCAGGCGCGTCCGCCGGCGCTCGGACAGGGTGCGATTTGGCGCCACGGGCTAGACTGTGAGCACTATGCCTTTATGTTTGCATTTAAGCTGTGTTTGTGTTATGAGTATTGTGTTTGTTTTTTTTTTTTGTGTTCTTTTGCGTTTGGATTTGTGTTTGCATTGTGTTTGTGTTTTCATTTGTGTTTTTATTTGCGTCTGTTTTTTCTTTTATGTTTGTATTTGACTGTGGCGTTTGTGTTTTAATTTGTTTTTGCATTGTATTTTTGTTTTTTTGTGTTTGTGTTGTGTATGTGTTTTCTTTTGTGTTTGTGTTTTCTTTTGTGTTTGTGTTTTCTTTTGTGTTTGTGTTGTGTTTGTGTTGTGTTTGTGTTGTGTTTGTGTTGTGTTTGTGTTGTGTTTGTGTTGTGTTTGTGTTGTGTTTGTGTTGTGTTTGTGTTGTGTTTGTGTTGTGTTTGTGTTGTGTTTGTGTTGTGTTTGTGTTGTGTTTGTGTTGTGTTTGTGTTGTGTTTGTGTTGTGTTTGTGTTGTGTTTGTGTTGTGTTTGTGTTGTGTTTGTGTTGTGTTTGTGTTGTGTTTGTGTTGTGTTTGTGTTGTGTTTGTGTTGTGTTTGTGTTGTGTTTGTGTTGTGTTTGTGTTGTGTTTGTGTTGTGTTTGTGTTGTGTTTGTGTTGTGTTTGTGTTGTGTTTGTGTTGTGTTTGTGTTGTGTTTGTGTTGTGTTTGTGTTGTGTTTGTGTTGTGTTTGTGTTGTGTTTGTGTTGTGTTTGTGTTGTGTTTGTGTTGTGTTTGTGTTGTGTTTGTGTTGTGTTTGTGTTGTGTTTGTGTTGTGTTTGTGTTGTGTTTGTGTTGTGTTTGTGTTGTGTTTGTGTTGTGTTTGTGTTGTGTTTGTGTTGTGTTTGTGTTGTGTTTGTGTTGTGTTTGTGTTGTGTTTGTGTTGTGTTTGTGTTGTGTTTGTGTTGTGTTTGTGTTGTGTTTGTGTTGTGTTTGTGTTGTGTTTGTGTTGTGTTTGTGTTGTGTTTGTGTTGTGTTTGTGTTGTGTTTGTGTTGTGTTTGTGTTGTGTTTGTGTTGTGTTTGTGTTGTGTTTGTGTTGTGTTTGTGTTGTGTTTGTGTTGTGTTTGTGTTGTGTTTGTGTTGTGTTTGTGTTGTGTTTGTGTTGTGTTTGTGTTGTGTTTGTGTTGTGTTTGTGTTGTGTTTGTGTTGTGTTTGTGTTGTGTTTGTGTTGTGTTTGTGTTGTGTTTGTGTTGTGTTTGTGTTGTGTTTGTGTTGTGTTTGTGTTGTGTTTGTGTTGTGTTTGTGTTGTGTTTGTGTTGTGTTTGTGTTGTGTTTGTGTTGTGTTTGTGTTGTGTTTGTGTTGTGTTTGTGTTGTGTTTGTGTTGTGTTTGTGTTGTGTTTGTGTTGTGTTTGTGTTTGTGTTGTGTTTGTGTTGTGTTTGTGTTGTGTTTGTGTTGTGTTTGTGTTGTGTTTGTGTTGTGTTTGTGTTGTGTTTGTGTTGTGTTTGTGTTGTGTTTGTGTTGTGTTTGTGTTGTGTTTTCTTTTGTGTTTGTGTTGTGTTTGTGTTGTGTTTTCTTTTGTGTTTGTGGTTTCTTTTGTGTTTGTGTTTTCTTTTGTGTTTGTGGTTTCTTTTGTGTTTGTGTTTTCTTTTGTATTTGTGTTGTGTTTGTGTTGTGTTTGTGTTGTGTTGTGTTTGTGCTGTGTTTGTGCTGTGTTGTGTTTGTGTTGTGTTTGTGTTGTGTTTGTGTTGTGTTTGTGTTGTGTTTGTGTTGTTTTTGTGTTGTGTTTGTGTTGTGTTTGTGTTGTGTTAGTGTTTGTGTTGTGTTTGTGTTTTCTTTTGTGTTTGTGTTTAGTTTTGTACTGTTCCCAAGTTGGTACATTTAAAAAAAGATCCACCGTGGCGGAGCACGGGTATGCAGCTAGTTTTTTATTTAAGAAAATACGGCATCTTGACAAATCTAACGACCCTGCCCTATGGGGTTTCTCCGACGGGAATAAAAAAATTTTGTTACCCTCCACCGCCGGTTTACGACCTCACAAAATACTAGGGAGATCGTTCGGCAAAAGTTTTTAATTTTTTTTATATATAGCTCATAAAAGTAGAATTTCACTCGCGGTCATCGTTTAGCCCTTGTCAAAGGCTTTGACAGTTTTTCCATACGGCCTATCCATTTACCTAGGTGCATGCAAAAAAAATTTAGCTAGATGTACACAGGCTAAAAATTGAAATTACCCTCTGTTTTTCACATAAAATACAATGATTATATAGGGAAATACGACCTGGTCAGCTTTGACCACTTTAGGAAGTTTTCCCAGATATGGCGAGTTTTTTTCTGATACCCTAAGGCGTTCTTCTACCACCTCACAAAATATCAAGGGGGTTGTTCGGCGAAAGTTTTTTTTTCCATAAGTATAATATCAAATTTGTAGTGCTGTATCAACTTTTAATGCGATTTCCGGTAACCGGAAGTGGAACTTATGCTACTTTTATTTTTACTAAAGCCTATAACTTGAGTACTGTTTCAGATAGATAAATGAAATTTTACTTGTAAGTAAAATATCTAATTATCTGCCTTCTATCCAATTTTGAGTAATTTCCGTTTGACAGGAAGTGGTAATTTCTAAAAAAAACGCATGTCATTTTATTAAATACTAATAATATTCCGCACTATCATACACAGATTGTTTAGTTTTCACTTGCTGCGCAATTCTTTTTTCTACGAGATTCTATTATATAAAAATATTCGAGAAAGTTTAGTGGAGATCACTCCCGCTTTATTTTATGCATAGAAAAATGAGTAACATAGCGACCGAATACATTTTGCACGTTTGTATCCGCTAGAAGTTCTTTGCCTCTAATGGGTATACTCAATTTGTAATTAAATAATTATAATTGTACATATTCCATTGAATAATATTAAAAAATTTCAAGATTAAAGTGATTCCAATGTGGTTTCACACCAATCCACTTCGGTGGACGGTGTAATTGGTGTTATCCCCCCCCCCCCCCCCACCTTGTCGAGTGGCGTCAATTTATATTAATCCACCTAGAAAAAGCATTGCGGGGCCTAACTCTAACAGTTTTTGTAGAAAATTGGTGTCACCCCCATCACAGTAGTCGATTAACATATCAGTTATTACACTTCTCAACAAAAGCTTTTTCCTCGGCACATGTTACGTTTAGTTGGTGTCACCGCCCCCCCCCCCCCCATAGCTTTAAACTGTGCACAGATAATACTAGCGATTTTTATTTAGAGTAGGTTGTTAATACAGGAGATGTGGCATTGTTTTCTCTATCATTAGCCCCCCTCCCCCCCCCCCTCTTGTCGGGATTTGTCAACTTGCCTCTTAGAAGACTAGGCCTATTTAACTATAATTAATCATTCATTTAACTGGAATGATCATTGTTTCTTGTGTCATCCCCCCCCCCTACATTGTGACGCTTCTGTTTATAAAATATATAAGCTCATGTTTTCGTTTTGTTTTAGGATACGTGAATGTTATGGGTCAGCCCATTAACTTCCTTTGTTCGAAGGACAAAGGTATGACCGACATTGGGAGTCACCATGACAACTACTACGAAGACCGTCGTTTCAAATTCGGTTGCTGTGGAATCATAGGCAAGAAATTAAGCAACTGTTACTGGACAGACGAGGTCAACACCTTGGGAGGGCCAATGACCCTGCAAGTCCCGGATGGTCAGGTGATTCAGGGCGCTCACAGTTACCGCGACGATTTCTTTATGGACAGAATATGGAGATTCCGGCTTTGCCTGCTAGAAGATGACTCTTTCCGTATAAACAGCAAAAACAAAAATAAAAAGACTAGTCTTAAAGTAAATAAATGCACTTAAATTCGACATTGAAGATGCAGATAGCAAGTAGTTTTCTTTGCAAAACAAATACACCAAACGACTGGTCGCAAGCTGCAATATAAATTCATATAATTACAAAAATAACTCTTTCTGTCCACCTTTCTATCAAGTTGTTAAAACAATTTTAAATGTTGATCTAATATCTATTCAATGAAATAAACTAGCTTAAAGTTATGGCAGCAACGTGGATTGTGTGGTTTTTTTAATTAAAAAAATTAAATATAAAAACCTTAATTAGGATACAGTTGAAATAACCTTTTTTTTTGTTTAGATTTTAACAAGAACAAACACATTTGTAAAAATATTAGATTTCTTTAAGAGATTAACACATAGAACTGCTGAAACAAAATGTGTTGGATTTATCTCTGTATGTTTAGTGAGATGAACGGTGTGGGTGGGAGGTAGAGCACTTGACTGCTAACCTGAAAGCCTTAATGATCCTGGGTCCACCCAGCTCTGAAGAGTACCTGACTCACGTAAGGAAAGTAAAGGTGGCTGGGAATGATGCTGATCACGCCATCATTGTATATGGTCAAGAAACGGATTGACTCTACTTCATCTGCCTAACGGACTGCAAATTTCGTAAGGGGAATGTAGAAATTCCATGAAGTCAAGTTGGGGGAATGTCGAGGTTGCATGAAGTCATTTTGGGGGAATGTAGAGGTTGCATGAACCCCGTAAGGGGAATGTAGAAATTCCATGAAGTGAAGTTGGGGGAATGTTAACGTGTAGGAAAGATAAAACTGACTGCACAATCCCTGCATTTAACCAAGTCAAATGAAGTCAAGTTGGGGAATGTTAACATGTAAAGGGATACAAGTCACAGATACAGGTAATTCTTCTTAATCTGCTATGTTGGTCGTTGTGTCAGTAAGGTAACTATGCAGAGATAACGTGACAATAAAGTAGTAAGTGTTGTGATATTCTGAGATCAAAGCAAATGCAAACAGAAGAACAGAATTTTGAAAACAAAAATTTGGATAAAATCTTTACCAGTCACACAATTTTTTTTTTATTTTTAATTTTTACTTTCTCGTATAACCGGAAAATGTGTTATTCTAGTTCACAATAAATTTTGATGTTGTACCCTTAGGAATTATTACGTTTTTTTCGGTATTATCTACCGTTGACAGAGGTCACTCCTGGTTTGTTTTTTGTTTTTTTTCAATATGGACAATGAGTGTACTTAATTTTTACCCAGTTAAGTTCATATTTTAGGACATAATTGACAGTTTCAAGAAAATAAAGATTTTTAATTGTTGGGGGTGGGGGGGGGATAGAAATTGTATCAAGGGGGAAGGAGGTATGAGTTTTTGTGACGTTCAGGTCGATAAAAATCGTCACACAAAAAACGAAACGCCATGCATGAACGACCATTAAATACACAACGTTAAGAAAATTGACGGTGTTCAAACAACGACTTTCCATTTTACCAGTTACGTTAAAAAAAACAAAGTTTCCCCATTACCAGCAAATTACCTTTCCAAGCTGGAAAAAATCGAAACAGAGTGTTGAAGTGTTGTTATGTAGAGCAGGGGTCTCCAAACGTTTCATTCCGAGGGCCGCATTAACTTTCAAATTTCAGTTCGGGGGCCAGTTTCTTCCAGGTTTGTCTTTGATTTTTCTGGGCAAAGTTCCCCAGCCATCACCAACAAACGTTTTTTTCCGTGCACAAAAAGATCTCCGTGGGCCGGATGAGAGGACATCGCGGGCCGCGTCTGGCCCGCGGGCCGTAGTTTGAAGACCCCTGATGTAGAGCATTAACCGCGGAAGACACTGCATGGGTTGACAACATACTCAACAACAGGTTAGACTCTAGGCCTCACGTGTAAAACTCTGTTCACCCTGAGCTCTGTTGCTCACACTTAGTTAGCAGGTGCTCCACTTTTTTGAGGCGACAGAACATTGTTTAAATGAGCCAACCCCATGACCAGCGGTAGCTAACCAAGGTTAAGGCCAAAGACGAACGAGAGTGGAAGTAAAAAATTAAGTTAGCGTTAAAGAGGTTTAGAAAATATAACGTTACCAACAGGGATAGTCCAGATATTAAGAATCAAGCCCAGTTAAGTCACAAAAGTGTTTTTTCTTATATGGTCAGCATTTGAGGCGTGCTCAAGCTGTTGAAGTAAGTTTATAGATCGTTAACTTGTAATAGCAAGCTAAGCGTTTCTATTCTAAAAGGTATCTATTTATCTATTGCTTGTTATCTAAAAGTTATCTGCTCGTCTGCTGTAACATGTAACATTTAAAGACAAGCGTGTTCACATTTGTAACAAACCAGGATGTCTCAAGTCTAGAACCGCTGTCACACTGTAGCGCTTCTCTCATGTGAATAGTAGGGTGGGTATGAATAAACAATGGTGTTCTCAACTCAATTTGTCTAATATATATATATATATATATATATATATATATATATATATATATATATATATATATATATATATATATATATATATATATATATATATATATATATATATGCCTCAGTTCTATAAATATATAGAACAAAGCTGCAGTAATGCATAAAAGACAAAAAAACATAAATAACTTTATATATATATCCCGAGTTGCCATCCCCCAAAGTGTTATTTAAGTGTTATCTAAGTGTTATCTATGTAATATTCGAGAAAGTTTAGGGGAGATCATTCCCGCTTTATTTTTCTGACAACTGTTAGCCCTACATGAGTAGAAACACATGGCAAACATGTTTAAAAAGAACAAAGAGTTATTCAGAAATTTTTACAAAAATATGGGGCGCAGAGAATCTCAAGAAGGTGAACAATAACTGACCTGAACATTTGAAAATGCTCAGATAAACAAAGGGAAATAACCGTTATTGTTCTCTTGGTTCTCTTAACCATGAGTATTGTTTCTTTGTTTAATATGACCACTATTATGACAATACTTAGATTAGCAGGTACTTTTCGGTTAACCATACCTCCAAGGGACGGAGTGGTCTAGCGGTAGAGAGCTGGGCTGCTAACCCTTAAGTTTCAAGTTCGAATCCGGGTTCAAGTTAGTAAACCGTCCCTGAGTCCACCCAATTCTGATGGGTACCTAACTCAAGTTAGGGAAAGTAAAGGGCGGCTAGGCATAGTGCTGACCACACTATCTCCTCATATGCCGAGGTCACAGAAACAAGTGAACTCTATTTCAT